CTCTCTCTCTCTCTCTTGTAGGCCCCCCCATTCCGCGGTCCCATTGCGTTTGCGCGCTGGTACCGAGGTCCCAGTCCCATTGCTTTGGAGTTCGCAGCCCTTAGGCTGCGGTATAGTGTGCTTCCGCGTCCGTGTCAAGGTGTCGCATTTTCGGTGGCGGGCGACCAGGACGCAAAGTGGGTTCTTAGGGGACAAATATTTGTTTTTTAAGATTTATCATGGTTAGACGTTGTAGTCCGTGGCAGGCGTCAAAGTCAAACCCCTTGACTTCCTTCCGGACCCTCGATGGTGGAGCTGGTCTTCAGGGCGATAAGAGACGACTGCCACCACAGGTATGAACGTGTGTACCACCCACTATCCGCAGGGTGCAGATGCGGGTGTGGTCCTCAACCGCGCTTGGCAGTTGTCCAGCGTCGAGAGATTAACCCTCAAAGCACGTGTCAGCCGACACTTGAGTGTCAAATGCGACCCTCGAGATTAACGAGGGTCGCATGAGTATGGGTACTACATAGTACGCCATCATCGTGACTGCTTGCGTACGGTTGCATTGCGAGTCGATATGAGTCAGCCCTGCGTCCACACGGTTTTATATCAAGTCTCGCGCGCGACGCATATCCGATTCTCGCATCGGAAAGTTATAGGATGGCTACCGAGGGGCTAGGAGCGTTGTCGCGTTGTTTGTGTTGCGTCGTTTCATGCGTGTGCCGTGTGTGTGCGCTTTATTTTTGCATTTTTAGAGTGGTGTATGCGTGGTGAGTGGGATGCGTCCTAGTCGACCGACGACGGGCCGCGCTTGGGGGGCTCGCTTGGGACTTCAGCCCCCCAAGATGTCGGTTCGCGTGCGGGTCCGATAGAGGCGTAGTACAGCGCGTACCCCCTATGCTACAGTGAACGAGAAACGCCCTTGGCTAGTCCACCTCTGCGATTGCAACTGATTAGCTTTCGTACTGTGGACAGGTAGTTCGGCGGGGATACGCCCAACGAAGGAAGGTGACAACTCCCGTAAGGTGGAGGTAAGTCGTGCCTCGTGTAGGCCCTATCCTGTCGTAGGGGCTCGCGGGAGGTATGGCTGGCGCACGCGGTCGGAGCGGCTTGCGGAAGCTCCATGCATACCTGCGACGAAGGA